TGGTTCCCTTCACCGCCATAAACCCGCCGCCACTCATCCCACCACCTCGGACTTCTGGACGCCCTCCGCCTAGCCCGTTACGCGTATCGCCCTCGCCTCGCCCTCCCCCGTCGCCTCGCCCACCCCCGTCGCCTCGCCCACCACCACCCAGCCCACCCAGCTTCCCAAGTCCTCTACCCCCCGTACCACCGCCATCTCCCCCAGCACCGCCGGAAAACCCGTCCGCCCCGGCACCGCCCGATAACCCCATCTACCCCCCCCTCGCGCCCTCACCGCCGCCTTCATCCCCCTCCGTGGAGGGGGCCCCCTCCCCACCTTCCGATCTCGTCAAGTACGGCAAATACGATATTATCGGCATTGGCATGATTGTTGCCGTGCACATGGTTCAAATCCCGGGTACCGATCGGTATTTGTTCATGGAGCGTCCCTCCGGCTACCACCCCGACCGTTCAAATTCCATCGCGGGTTTCTTCGATGTTCCTACGGCCAACTTCACCCACGTGTACTCCCCCGACGGGCTATTCTGCTGCGGTCACACGTTGACGGATAGGGGCGATGTCCTCGTGGTGGGCGGCCACCAAGCAAATGCCGGGTACCCAGACGGCATGCGCTCGGTACGGACCTTCAACCGCTCCTGTACGGATCTTCGGCTGCGGAAAGTACGGGAGCTGGGCTGGCGACGCTGGTGGGTACGACAGCACCAACTGATTTGTCGCCGGGATATTACTATAACGGTTTTAAATTCGGTTATTGAAGGCTTGTAATTATATGTGACAAGGTATCTTGTATGTATATGCATATCTGTATATGTACGAACGGTGCTTATGGGACTGACTTATATAAATGTACGGCGTTTCCTGGGTTTTCCTGGCGGATGGGGGTGGTAAGTCGCGGAATGAACCGGCCAAGACCGATGGAGAGAAAAATAATGACCGCTTCGCAGTGGGTGATGTGGCACGCTCCGTACACTTGTCGTACAGGTATCCATCCGCGACACTGTTGCCGGACGGCAAGGTGCTCATCATGGGCGGCACCCAAGGTGTCGGAGCCGGTACGGCAAGCAATCCATTCTGGGAGATGTACAATCCGCAGGACAACAGCCTCACGCCGTACCCCATGCGGACAGCTTATCTAGAGTCCGCCGTACAGGTAAACATACATCTGCTTTTGTTAACAGGCAAGCGTAATGATTGAGACATATGTATGTATGTATATATGCCCCGCCGCCCTCTACGGCATTGTTCGGAATAAAATTTACCTCCTGCTAATGCTGGTGTGTAATTCTTTTCTGTACGGCAGGTGTACTATCCCTTTAATTTTGTACTGCCGTCGGGACACCTCTTCACCTTTTGCGGACGTACTGGCTGGATCTTGAACTACACCACCAACACGTGGACGCAACCCGTGCCGCGGCTGCGTGGGTACGGCAGTACGCAGTATCCGTACACTGGTACGGCCGTGCTACTTGGGCTGTACCCGGAAAGGAACTACCAGGTGAGACCCGTGGGTCCGTCGGCCTGTGGGAATACGTGTGTACATGTATGTATGTATGTACGTGCTTCATGACGGGCGGAGGAAAATGCTTCTCGGAGAATCTAACGATGACGAGGACGCGATGTACGGGATCGCTCGGGAAACTTGCGCGAAGGAATGCGTCCATCAGGGCATGTACCTCGAGTTGTGCATCATATGCCGCCGTAAAATCTCCGAATGGATTGGCTTGCTAAAATTTCTGTCATACAATTTTCAGTTTTTCAATCATTTTGAAATAGATATGTATTTGCTCCTGCAGGCTGAGGTTGTCATGTTTGGCGGCCAAAAGGAGGCCGCGGTCAAGGATTTGACCATTCCAGCCAACAAGGGCATCAACCGAATGACGCTCACATACAACAGCAAAACGGGCAACTATACATTTGACGGATGGAACGAGGAATATCTGACGATGGGACGTGTCATGCCCGACGCCGTCTTGCTGCCAAACGGAAAGATCGTCGTGCTGAACGGCGCCAACGTAAGTTCCGTTTCTCTATTTCTCTGCCTTTCTCTCTTTTTCTCTCTCAATATTTCTGTTTCGAAATCTTTTTTATGTTTATAAAAATATAAACTTTACCTGTACGGTTGCTTTGCCCTTGTTCGTTTGTCTTGCAGACTGGCCTCGCAGGCGACTCAGCATCCGGAGGCGATAGCCGCGCCAACTACCCGAACCTCTTCGCAGAGTTGTACGACCCAGATATGCCAGCTGGCGAACGAGTCACACAGCTGGGGTTCACTCAAATAGCTCGTATGTACCATTCCACCGCATGCCTCACAACCAACGGCACGATCATCGTCGCGGGTTGCGACCGGTGCTACAAGTTTGCTGTACGGCAAAACTGGACCTACTCGCCGTCGCCCACCTCCAAGGCCGAGTACCGCGTTGAGATCTTCTCCCCGCCGTACTTTTTCATGGATGCCCAAAAACCCGCCATCGTTTCGACCTACAACAACAACATCCTGTACTACAACTCCCCATTCAAATTGGCATACGATTTTCCCGACTTCGTCGGACCAGGGTTTAAGGGCAACGGGGGCTACGGAGCCATTCGCGTCACGAGTGCCGTACTTGCGGCGCCGTGCAGCTGTACACATTCGTTCAACACTCATCAGCGCCTGATCGGATTGCGTATTGCCAGCGATAACGTATACACCGGCGTTCTTACATTAAGAGGCCCCCCAGATGTTAACATAGCACCCCCGGGGATGTACATGCTCTTCCTCCTCAACGGCGACGTCTACTCCAGGGCCGTCTGGATTACGTTGCGCAGTACAGCAGCGCCGTCGTCGACGGACGACGACGTCACAAAAGCAATGGATGATGACAGCAGCGCGAGCGGTGCGGGGCTGCCGCCGCTCCGGAAGTCGTCGCCACCGCCGTCAACGAGGCGGGCCCCAGCTCCAGCTCCGGCTCCAGCACAGCCGTCGCACACTGACGGGTCGTCAGCTGCGCCGACGAGCGATTACGAGCCGTGGTACGACTGGACGCCTTACTCAGCGGCGCCTCCCGACGCTGCAAGCGAGACGGCCAGCGGCGGTGTATATGATGTCTCTGTCGAGGCTTGAGACAGAAGAGAGACAGACTTCAAACGGGAAGATCGCTGAATTACCTCCAAAAAAATCGCTCGGAGCCGCGATAATCAGCGGCAACAGCCTGCTTTGATTTGCAGCCTGATGTTGTTTTCTATTGAAGTGGCGCAAGCGAATAGTAGTGGTTGTGGTAGTGTGAAAGGAAGAGGCAGACAGGGCGCGAGGAAGGCTTGCTTAATGGAAGGGACAGCTTGCTGAAGCTGCCACAGCAGCAGCGGAGGAGGGAGGTAGCAAGCGTGTAGGAAGGAAGGATTTTTTGTTGATCCGGTTGACCTGACTCGGTGCGGTGCTCGTCAAGTACACTGCACGTTAAGTGCAAGACATGCCGTGGGAGGAAGTGGTTTGGACCGACTGACAGTTGACTGAGTCGTTGGTCGTTGGTCGTTGGTCACCCCTATTTAGGTCTCGTCGGCGACTCTTGCGTGATTCGTGTTTTTTACCTCCGGATATTCGGATTCACCTGCATTTGGGGAGGAGCGGCTCTGGTGAACCTATTTCGCTGCTGAACTGGGCCGAGCCAAGGATAAAGGCAGGAAAAGGAAAACTCACGAAAGCGCTATGGCAAAACAACGTTATCAATTTGTTTGGGTGCACTGCTGGTCGCGGGCGTGAAAGTCTCTCATCATTAGTCTGTTGTGTGCCTTCTGCCTTCTTTGCATATCATACTGTTAGACAAGTGCGCGACACAGGTAGTGGGCAGTCGGGAGCTGCAGCAGTGAGGCGGGCATGCTGCGGCACGGCGGAAGGTCCATGCTGCATTTATGCTAAGACTTAGCTGGTTAGGCGTAGATATAGTTTATGCTGTTCTTTGCTTGCTTCCTTGGTTATCTACGCAAGAGATCACTTCCGACACGATTACGGTTAATCTGCGTATGCGATTTGCTGCCGCCGTGTATGAAAGACCAACTGGCTGGCCAGGCTTATCTCTTTTTTTGTTTTTTGTTATTGAAGACTTTTATTTTTACACAACTTGCTTGTCAAGTTCTAGAAGGTGTCTCTGGGCAGCAGAAGGTCGTTCCGCATACAGCGATGGAGACCGGGATGCAAATTGCTCTATCGCCGTCTCTGTCTTGATTGATCTTTTTTAATTTTGCCCACGGCCATCCGCGGGGCACACTACTTTCCAATTTTTGTCTCGGCCGCCAACGTCTTTCGACGGTTGACTAAACACTGCTGAACTCAATTGCGATAGCACTCTCGTTGATACACATATCGCGATCCGGGTTATCTCGCGGTGACGCTACCTCCCTGCACGATAGCTGCATGCTAGTGATGAGGATGCATGGTCGCCTATGAGCACGGTTAGGCGCTTCAGCTTCAGCAGGATGCGCGTTTGTTGCTGCTCCGCTTCCCCCCACTTTCGTAGTTACACCTCACCTTGGGAGAAACCATAACGTTAAAATCAACAGCACGTTCTGTTCGAAATGCATTTGGGCGTGGTTTTCAAAGGGAAGACATTTAAGAGTCAAATGACGAATACGCCATATACGATATATACGAATACCAATATAATACCAGCGACGTCAATCCTGCTGGTGGTCAACTCCTCTCAGCCGCTGCAAGTTGCTCTCTGCTAAGCGGGTGGCCGCGGACGGCCCAGCGCTATCATACAGGCTATCGCGCTTTGGCAATAATGATATCCCTGTAACGATTGTATGGCCTTTGTGTTCACGAACGCCCCACTGGAGGTTGATTTTGGATCGAGCATGTTTGCCAAAGAAATGCGTAGATAGACTAGTAATGACATAAATGTGCGATGTTTGTTATGATTGGATGACTCTGGACGTTGTCCTGGAGATTTCTACGTAGGGACTTGGAAGCCCCCAAAATAGATAGAGCTGCTCCAAGCACAATACAGTAGTGCGGGCTCTATGTATCGGTCCAACAAGTCATCAGCATCCTGATGACGCGAGCCAAGTGCTATAGTAATAGTATTATCCCCCACTAACTAGTGGGGGATCCGCCGCCGCCATCTCAGCAGCCGACCTGACCTCTCCATATACACATACATACATACACATACATACATACACACACATATATACACGCACATACATATACATGATATATAAAATATATAAGGCACCGCCGGCGATGGTGAAAGTGGTGCTGTATGTCGGGAACGGGATAGATGCAACAGCCGCAGCAGCAGCACCAACGGCAGCAGTAGCCGCTGCTACTGCCGCCGTCCTCCAATGCAGATTATGTATTACGTGATCTTAGTAACCACCGGGGGGGGCTGATTGGCCATCGGAAACGCCCAGCAGCCACAGTGGCTTCAGCGCACGCTACCGTACGGCAGTAACTGCGGCATCACGCCGTACATTGGCTCTCCACCGTACGACGTCCCCCCGTACCACGGGTATGGATAGACTGTGGGACGGGCGCACATCACAGAAAATGCATGGGAACGGCGCACGCTGAACAGCTAGGCAGCAAAGCGGCATGCAATGGCACCAATAGCAGCAGCAGCGGCAATAATGGTAACAACAGCAATAGAAACTGCGGTAGCCCGGAAGCATTAGCATTCAAATGGCGATATAGCAAATCACAATTCTGAAATAAACATCAGCAGCAGAACCAAAATAAAGGCACAAGGATCTCTCTATAAATCAAAAAATTAACAATGTTTGCCAGCACGTAAAGTAATAAATGCATAAAAGAAAGCACTTGGCATCCGAGACAGACGATTTGTTAATAATTTAATTCTCGTACAGATACAAACAGGCTGGCTGCGTTCAAATTTCAAATCTTATATCCATATTCAAATTTGTCAGGAAGCACCTATCGGTTACTCACCTGTGGCTGGCGACATCATCCGCGGCTGTCCCGGAGGCGCAGCAGGAGGAGCTGGCATAGGGCCCTGCGTCTGCTGAGGCGCCATAAGGCCCGCGAGCTGCTGAGTCCGCGCTCCCTGTACGGCCGTTGCGACTGCAGGGTTGCTACTGGCCATGACATCCATATTTATACCGATATCCGCAATAGCGATATCATCATCAGTTGCGGGTGGCACGTCCATTACCTGTGAATGGTTGTTGGTGAATGGTTGTCAATGGCTATTGGAGGAGCCATAAAATGCCGTTGCTCGTACTGCTCGTACTTAGTGTAGTACGTGACAAATCAAAAAGAATCTTGCGTTGTGAGGTACACATCGGCCCATAATTCCCACAGGATCCTGTTTTTTTTCATGATATTCATCTTTTTCTTTTTCCATCTTGCCCATGATTTGATGATTTGATGCAATGCCGTACCTCTACGGCATGCTCCCGGCAACCCCCCAGAGACGCTGCCCAGTGCCGTACCTCCTGGGACCGGTTTGCCGTCGGTTTGTAACACATCAGCCACGTAATCAGCGTTATAAGGGCCGCTATGATGATAACGCCGGTTCCGGACCCAACGGAAATCAACAAGATCTTGAACCTGGCTAGTCCTTCATCATTACTGCTACTGCCGGTGCTACTGCCGGTGCTGCTACTGGTGCTACTGCCGGCGCCATTGATGCCATCGCCGTTGATCACGGAGCCTGGGTGCGGTCCGGGGCAGGTTGCAGGCAGGAGAACGGGGACGGGTTCGGCAGTCGGGGTGATACGGGGATGTATGCAAGCCGCCGCCCCAGAGAGATTTTCGAGCTGCAGTGAAAGCCATCACCGTCCGCTTATGTGCGCCCTGTTATGGACAAAGCCGACAGCGGAAGTGCCGCTGCAGGGAAGGATGATGTTACTGTTACGCCTCTTTTCCTGTACCCTATCCCCTTCAGGAGCACCCCAAGACAGCAGATTACGCCGCAAATTTCGCACCTAACACCAGCAGCTCAATAACCAGCGGCACCTGCGAGTCCCGATTGGCGATGACCAGGCAGAGGGACCCCGCGGCGCGCTGGTCTGTTTCGCCTACGCATTTTAGACGTCCCAGGCATGAAAGGGAGACGAGAGCTGGGCTAGTTGGCGGCAGGCACGGGGCCATAGTCGACGAGTCACAGTCCTGTTGAGGAAATCACATGTGGCGATGAAAAAGACAAGGAAGGTTCCAAGCAAAAGCATTTGACGAAAAAAATTATGTTGTTACAGACTCGATGTTTCACTTACCGTGTCGGTGACGTACACATGAACTGTGGGTCTGGCCGCCCATATTTCGTATTTTAGGGTGTAATAACCACAAAATACCAGCTTTGATTCGGCAGAAATCCTGTAGGTTGTTGTATTCTTGGCAGCTTCGGCTATTACTCCTAGGCTGATAACGCTAAACCACAGCCATGTGGCCTGAGTCATGTGCGCTGAACAGCCAACACCGTGACCCTATCAGACTATATCAACGAATTATTCCTGATGAGTCTGCATCGGGGTGACATGGCTAATCCCTTGCTTTGGCAGTAGCCGGGGCTGGGAAGGTCCTGGCCACCGCTCTGTTTCTGAGCCTTCCAGTTGCAAAGGGAAGCTCCTGATGTTTTAGTCAATCTATCCTCTATGTACTTTTCATACATAAGAAAAGGAGCATGTTACAAGCCATGAAGCCGTCATTGTAATGCACCGAGAAGCATGTACTCGATCCATGATCGTCAAACAAGGTGATACTTCAATAATTAAAACCAGTACTTTTAAAAATGTATATTGGCATCATAATTCCACAATTGATGCCAAGCGTGAGTCGTGAAACATGAAGTGCCTCTCGAACTACCATGCAACTGTTAGATGTACAGTTGCTCAGCATCGCGGCTTCCAGGCGTAAACCACCGTACATCTAAACTGCCTGTATCGAACCGTTAAATACCGTACCTTTATCTTATACGATTGCATCACACCCGCTTCTGTCACAGACCGGCTGTCCAAATCAGCGGCCTTGCCGCGGACAAGTCGGCACGAGCTCAGCCAGTGCTGGCGCGCACGTTAAACCGTCTGCCTTAGTATTCTTTTAGGAACCATAAACTTCAACCAGAACCGTCGGTCATGCCTCAACGTCCCCAAACACGCGCAACCCACATGGACACTCCCGTAGGCGCATCCTTCCCAGACAACATCCTCACGAGAACCATCCTGTTAAAGTTTTTCTTAACCTTTCCACTCCTCCTGAAGAAAGAAAGAAAGAAAGAAAGCGCCATTCAAATTCCCCCGCATACTTACTCGTATACTAACTCGTATACAGCTCCCATTCGGCACCTATCGGGCCCTATTTCCCGCCGCACTTTTCCTGAACCTGACTCCCTGGCCCCCCCCGCAGCTACCCCGGCCGCTATCCCCCTCACTGGGCCCCGGCCGCCCTCTGCTGCTCCCGTTGTCGCGCTCTCCCTATCTCGAGCAGCTTCACCGTGCTGCCTGTCAGTCGGATCTGCAAGAAGAGGAAAATGAACCACCCAAGTAACGCAGGAAGTACAGCAGGAAGGGAAGGAATGTGTGATGCCTCTGTGTGCCTCTGTGTGTATCCCTCGGTGTGTGGATGTGTGGGTGTGTGGCACCCGCGCGGTTCAGCCGCCGAAGGGGAGGGTGCTCAAGGGGGGGTGCCCTTACACCAGGTGCCCATCAGAGCGGGGAGCTGCACCCCCCCCCCACACACACGCACCCACCCACCCACCAGGATCCACACGACGACAATGACTTGGAACGGAAATGAATTCAAGGGGAGGATACACAGCATTACCGGAGACATGTGCGGAGGTGAACAGCACGGCACGGCACAACAGAAACCTGTGACCCCCCAAGTCGCGAAGATGGCCGAGAAGCAACAAGTAAAATCTTTCACCTAGTCGCGGACCGAAAGTGTGTAAGTTACGGAACCCAATACCAACACCAACACCAACACCGCACCAAAAGGAACGATGCACCATTTCGAGGGCGATACTCATGTTGGGTGATCTAGAGAGGAGACACAACGATGCAAATGTCAACAGGGGGAAACCAACCAACTAACCGCACGCACACACACACAAACACACACGCGCGCGCGGTCCCATCCCACACCCCTACCTGGCGCTGCTGCATCGCGGCAGCATAGTACTCCGCTCTGTCCTGCGCACCCAGATTGACTGCCGTACGAATAACGATGTAAGCCGTCACGTGGTCATATGGCACCCCGCCAAGCGGCATCGAGCCCAGGACCTGCATCACGTTGGCGTCCGTTGGCGCGGCGGGGCGTATTTCCTGAGGTAGCTGAGACTGCTTCCCCTCCCCGCTTCCCCTCTTTCCCCCCCCATACACACGCACACGCACACGGCAAACCCCCAACACGGCAAGCTGCTGGTAACTCGTTTCGCAAAAAATCTAAGTAGTTACGGCCACGTCGCCGCCAGGACTACTGCCCAGTTCATTACTGGTCTGGTCAGTAACTAACAAACACATTCCTCCGATGCAACATCTGTTTGGCTCTGGTATCTGCTTCAATCGTCAGTAGTTCGTCTTACCCCCTATCCACACACACATACATACACACACACCTCCTCAATCTTGGCAAGCTCCCCAAGTTGGCCCCAGTACCGCATCAGCTCGTGAAGTCGTGTACGACTCAGTAGCAAGCCTAGCTCCGAAGACCGCCGCAGGGCCTCAACCAACACGTCGGGCGCATCGGCATTGCGAATCATCTACAAGGCATCCGTTAGTGTCAGTTGGCGTTATCGGTTGATCGTTGTCGGTTGGTTGGGAGCCAATGGACGAAAAAACGGGGCCTTTTCACGGTTTTGGTGCGGATGGCAAGGTTGGAAATTTGCAGACGGTGGTTCGCCGTCAGGGGATGTGGCCGTGATGTGCCCGTAAACCTGAAGAACGTAATCGCAGACAGAGAGACAGTAGGCGTGCGCTCGGCCCCTTACGTTTACGAACTCCACAGCCAACCGCTCGCCGTACGGCTTGAACTTGCCCTGTCGTACAAGGCTCGCGCGTACGGCCGCAAAGGCATTGAGTACGATACGCGCTTCTTGCGGGTTGTTGGCCAACTTGCAAATCATGAATAGCGCATCCTGGCCTGTTGTGCGTTGAGATGCGGCGATTGGGGATGGTACAAGTTCAGAACGAAAAAGGGGATTGGATGGGTGATTCATGCCGCAGCCATGGCGGCCAGAGTCCTTTTCCCCGCACACCATGGGCAGCTAGCCACCCGCCAGGGGGAAGGCGGGGCGGGCTGATGCCTGGTCCCTTGAAACCCTAAAAATCGCTTTAGGAGCTACATTGCCTTCGCCCCGGCGTCCACGCAGCCTAGGGTTTGAATACTTATAATACGTTATAACACGAAAATGCGCTTGGTGTGGAAAATTGATTATAACTTGGGCAGCTGTTAGCTTAAGAGTTGAATTTTGAAGCTCACTCACCGCATGAGTTGGTTTCGCACTTCTTGATGATTTCCTCGTACAATGTCGCTGTCGTGTATTCAGGTTTGGCGAACCAGCCTGGTTTCGGAGCGAATAATGGTGGAGCGTACATAAGAGGGGATTTTTTTTCTGGAAAAATGAAAGGCCCCGTTCTGGTGCGACGGGAAGTGGAGCGGAAAGCCTGCGGTGAATGTTGAATCCTGCCAGGCTGGGGAGTCTGATTCGCCAAGGGAGGGAGATTGCGGAAAGAGCCATGACGCCGGATCGCGGTAACGGTAACGACTAACGGTAACAACGGTTGCTGTTGGGTCCAATCTGTGTAAGTCTGAATGGGACACGCGCACCTTCCAATGGAACTCCTTACCTTGCGGCAGTGGACCCCAGTACGACTTCTTGTACGGCCGCTGCCTGCACATCCGTGCACGTGCGGCGGGGTGGGGGTAGGAATGCGGGACGGCGCGAGAAAGCGTCATGCAGCAACAGCAGCAACAGCAAAGGGCGCAACGGAGGGGTGGAAAGAATCGCCACCACTCCTCGGGCCATTAGGGGCCTGGCATTCGGATGAATGCGAACGGCTTAGGAGGGGAAACAGAGGAAAAGGTGAATGCGGGAAGGGTTATGCAACCTTTAGGTGAGGGATGGCTGGGTTGCACTGGTGTGGTTAAGGAGGGAAACACAGCAAATAAAGCCGACCCCGAGTAGGCTTCAGGTCCACGCCCTGACACCTCAAAAAGCATAGCCGGCTCAAAGAGTTTTCCCCGAAGGGTTTACGTTGAGGAAGCTTAAAGCATGACAAGTGCCTACTCTTATAACATGCGCATGGAAAGGGGAGAGATAGACTGTAAGGAGATGGCGTGTGCGTCTGACCGCCCATGCCCAGGGACTGTCGCGCAGAATAGAAAGACGCCAACGAACGAAGCTGCAACTGGATCCACCTGCCTGGAGCCTTCTCCTCGTTGCCATCGTCCACCTTGGCTCGCGGCAAGCTCCTCTCTGGCTGCAGAGCTGGCCTGCTGTTGAAATTCGCGAAATTGCCCAAACTGGCTGTCGCCTGCGGCAAGTGCTATGAGCCGCTCGGCAGCACTGCACCTTCGACTGGTTATGACGCCACCTGACGTTAAACAAGGGCGCAGAAATTCTTGTACCCATCCCTGGTCCCAGGTGCATCGCGGACTGGGAAGCTTACACACCTGTTACCCGTGGCTTTTGTTGCTTTGAGCTGTGAAATGCCACTTGGGCATGTTTAGGTCTCCCTACTGTATGCGGTGTGGCCCGTTCATGGTGTTGCCACCAGCCGCAAAAGGAACGGCTGCAAGGTAGCATGAAAAGCTTGTAAAACGTCAAAGACAAGGGACGATCGTGAACCTCGATGTGCTCCAATTTCCACATCAACTTCTGAAAACATTTGGTTGCTCGTTGTGACGTACTGCAACCGCTCGTCCGCCTCTGAGTTCCGTGTACCCTATCGGAATGAATTTGCATTGTAATGTCTAAAGACATTGAATGTGTACAGCTTGCGAAACAAAATTGGCGCTCACGAAGCGTTGCACCTTTCTTCCGTGACCCAGCTGCTACCGCAAGCCCTTTGGCAATGTCTGAACCTTCACCGAAACGGCACAAGGTTGATGACAATGAAGTCATTCCTACGAAGATCGTAGGATTGGTACCAGGCGAGGGCCCTGCAGACGCGAATGGCGACTTGGAGGGAGCCCCGGACTATGCAGTGGAGTTCTTAGGTGCTGAACTGGAGGAATGCCAAAAGGCCCTTGACAAGGTAACCAAAGCTGCAGCTGCATGCTCCTTACCCCCTTGGTGTGCGCCTAAACAGAGTTCACAGCGCGCAGGTCAACGACGAGGCCAGTGACCGTGTTCTGGCCGTGGAACAGGAGTACAACAAGAAACGCAGGCCAATTTACGCCGAGCGCGCGGAGATCATCAAAAAAATACCGCACTTCTGGCATCGAGTCCTGTCATCACACCCGACGCTTGCGGACCAGCTGTCGGATGATGATGCAGCGATCCTGGAATACGTGACTGAGGTACGCTGTCCAGAGCTCTTTTCGGGACTGCCCCGCACAACAGTGCAAGGAGCGCGCTCTGGGCGGAGGCACCTCCTGCCGCCCCTTCCCCCGCCCGCCGCCCCAGCATAGCTTGCCGAGGCTGCGCTCCAGCCGCCGGCCCTTCCTTTTTCCTTCTGCCTGGCCAGGCCGCTCTCCTTCACCCCTCAACCGAGTTTCCTAATCCAACTTTCCCCGCTGTCTACCGGGTTCGGCTATCGACCTTTCCCAAGCAACCCAGCAAGGAAGCCACCCCGCCCGCCAGCCCGACACCACGTTCCCCTCGCCGTGACCCGGCATCCCGTCCTGAAGCCATGCCACCCTGCCTTCCATGTCATCCTCGCCTTATTGCCTCGCCGCGTTATCCTCGCCTCCACACTTAATGAAAAATAAATTATTCCCATGATTATATATTATACATTATACATGTCCACTCGCCCGCCAGCTGGACGTGGTGGACTTTGATGACATCAAGTCCGGCTTCAAGATTGTGTTGAGCTTCTCCGCCGACAACCCCTACTTTAGCAACCCCACACTCACCAAGTCGTTCCACTACGGCGAATCCGACGGCAAGGTCACCACCCAGCCAGCCACCATAAACTGGTCCGAAGGCCATGTGAGTCTCTGGATCCAGAAAATCCAAGCAGGAAGTAATCCAACAGTTTGGCCTTGCGCCTTGTCCAGATAGTGACAAAGTGTAGTGTAGTCCCTCGCCCCATCGTAGTAGCGCTACTACATCGTCGTCTGGGAAATTTGTAGAGGGGAGCTTGTAGAGGGGAGCTTGTAGAGGGGGGGGGAGGGTGCGGGTGCCGCACTGGATGCGGCTATGTTCCGCAATCCGGCTGCTTTCACGTCATGTCGTACCATGCCGTACTTTGCCGAAAGGTGGTACATCTATCCTGATATCTATCTACCTATATATTTATATAGATATAGGCATATCTCGCTTGCACTTTTGTTGCCGACTTGACGATTTCTTCCCGATTCCCTAGGGGGCAACTGCTGAACCCAACTAAATCCAACCAACCTAACTAAACCCGTTTCCAATTCGCGACTGGGAAACAGAAAAAAACAAAAGTTAACTAAAAGTTCTGCGGCCCACACGCACCCTGCGCTTCCGTACGCGACACGTGGGTGCCGCGTCCACAGGCACCGACGGTGCCCGGCCTGGACGGGCAGTTCGGCCCATCATACCTTGTAAGTCCATTATGAGGGGCGATTCGGGGGGACGTGTTGGCGATAGAAGAGGGGTCTGTAGGTAGGTGTCTGTGGCACAGTCACACAGTCTGTGGGCTGACTGGTTACTATAGGCACAGTGGCTCGCTCCCGGGGCTTATGGCCAGTGGTGAAGAGGTGCGTAAAGAGGAGAAGGGGGAGGGGAGGGGGAGGGGAAGGGGAGGGGAGGGGGGGGGAGGAGGGGAGGGGGAGGAGGGGGGGGGGAGGGGGAGGGGGGGAGGAGGGGAGGGGGAAGACGGACGCTATGGTGTGTGTGGGCCCCTGAGACGTCCGTCTCCTTAAAACCAACTTCCGTCGCCAAACCCCCTTCGGTTGTCGGAAGCCGTTTCGCGGACTCTGGATTTTGCCTTGGACATTTCTTTCCTCCCTCCCGCCCCCTGGACTTTGGACGCCGCCAGTTTATTCCCGAATTTCTCCCATATTATTTCCCCGTGCTCCCCCCCTCCGTCACGCACACACACACACACACATGCATACACGCACCCCTACATTACCCTGCACGTGTGTGTTTCCCCACTCGGTTGTCAGTTCTTCACTTGGATGGCCACCAGCGAGCCCGTGGGCGCCGGAACACCCGATGAGGTACGACATGTTTGTAGTCACATTACCAACACCTTGGGGGGGTGGGGAATGTCCGCTCTGACGTGTCGATCGGGGAGTGACGAGAGGGTGCTGCTGGCCTCGTGGGTGTTGGGATGCGGCAAATCCATACCTTACTTGGCGCTTCGGGTGTCTGTGTCTGGTGCTGGTCTTGCCGTCTGATTGTGAGCCGGTGAGCGGCACTTGAGAGAAGGTAGTGGGGGAGGATGCGATGGTGCACGATGGGGCTGTTGTTCTTGTTTTTATTGTTTTTAGTTGTTGTGAAATTCAGTAGTAACTGGTTCGCCTGCAGATCGCTGAGGTCATTAAGGACGAGATCTGGCCCAACCCTGTCAAGTACTACTTCTCGCAGACGATAGGTGAGCATGAGTACGGCGGTACGGCAGTACGACGTGCCGCGGCCCTAGAGGGACACGTGCATGGATGTGTGTGTGGAGTTAGGGGAGCTCGTTGGGGCCTGGATGGAACCTGGGTTGCGACCTTCCCCCCCGTACCGTCCAGTTCCGGCGCGGGCGCTGTATCAAACCAACGTGCTCCCTGTCAGGGCACACACACAGACACAAACACACACACAGACAGACACACACAGACACACAGACAGACAGGCAGTTTGTTGAAACACACACGCGCACTCCCCATCAGTCCCCATATCGCCAGTTCTGTCTCTCGGCTCGATGTTTCTTAACTCGCACAGACCCTTGAAAACCGTTTTGAAGTTCGTAAAAACCGAGCGCTATGTAACTAGTGCACATATTACCATTAATTAGTTCCCCTGCTAACTACAAACATGTCCGGGTTTTCTATATCCCCCTTTCTCATGCTCGTCCCATCTCACAGAGCTTGAGGACGAGGTTGCAGTGATGGAGGGGGAGGAGCTTGAGGGGTTGTTGGTTCAAGGGGCACTTGATGAGGGGGAGGGGGAGGAGGAGGAGTTGCTGTACGATGAGGGCGAGGGAGAGCTGGGGGGCGCGAGGACGGGCGAGGGAGAGGAGGAGGAGGAGGAAGGGGGAGGATTCCCGGATAACGGTACGCCTGCCCCTGACGCGTGAGCTGGGTCGACGACAAGGTTCTGTCGGATTAATACACTACTAGTACTGCATGTCCACCGCGAATTTTTGCCTGGCAACGACCTTCCAACTTCCCGAAGATCCCACCCTCGGACTGTACGACTGATGTACGACTGTACCATGGATTATTGGGTGGGGAGTTTTTGTTTATGTGCCGCCTGAGGACCTGTTTTGGGGTTTTACACGAGGAGGAGAAAACATCTTACATCGTTGGGAGGGAGGAGGATGGAAAGCATGCGGAGGCATTGGCGGGTATGTGGTTAGTGGAGGGCTCAAGGGTACAATCCTGGCAGGAAAGTTGCTCCAGGGGGCGATGTGGGAAGGCATGCGCATGGCAGGCGGGTATGTGGGGCTCTCCCGATAGCGGCGGGCGGGGAAACAGGAGAGGGGGGGGTGAAAAAGGGGGAGGGCAGGTACCATGATCCGAAGAGATATGTGTCTGTCTCCCAACAGGATGTGAGGCCATGAAGGGGTTGCCAGGAGGGGGGGGCAAAAGGAGGGAAAGGGGTTAGGGAGGGCAGATCTGGAGAGTCAAGGGGCGTTCCGAAACGCGACTCTCGACCATACGATCGCGCCTGCATATGAACGAACCGGCGGAAGGGAAGGGGGCAGAGGTGGGAGTCAGTCAGTCCACATGCAAGCAGCAGCGGGAGGGAGGGGCGGGGGTACACCATGGGCGGTGCTGTCTGGGGTCGTTAAGCATGGATGGATGGCAGGGCAGGGCATCAACGGTAGGCGCCAACAGAGGAACGTAACTTTAGGCAGCCAGGGGGGGGAAGTGGTTCAAACAGCGCCCAGATGGCTTCAATGCCGGCGCAGAAAAGTGCGGGGAGGAGGGACGCGGGCACGTTAGCAAAGAAGCCCTTTTGCATATACACACACCAAGCTCAAAACCATGTCCATCCGTGCGTGATGCTGCTGCTCGCTATGCGCGTTGACCTAACTGACGCCTCTTCCTGAACCCAACAAAGTCGGCACACGACCCGAAGTGCAACGGTGGCGGTTTCTTACCACTCATTACCACTCGCCATCTCCGCCTCCCCTGTTAGCGCCTTTGCGACGCTCTCACTTTACTACCTCTTGAGTAGGTTAGAAGACCGTTAGGAGACCGTTAAGAGACCGTTAGGAGACCGTTAGGAGACCGAAGACCTGTTTACTGCCAACTCAAACTTTGGGCTCCTTAAGGGATTTTCCAACGCTCCGTGCACACCGAGGTGGCAACATCCCACACGTGCCCTCAAACCCTGGCTTTGACTGTCGGCACCTTCCGGGGCCTTCCTCTCGGCCCTGCTTGGGTGGTAATGATTGGTTGGCCACATCATCGTCATCGTATGTTGCCGCCTCAGGGGGTCCATACGACTGACTGGTGTGATGACCGGGCAAACACATGCATATCGCGTGGGAGAGCGCACGGCAGTATCAACTGTTTGCTGGTTCGCTTACAAAAGGAAAGGCCTCTTACGTTCCCGCGGACGGATTGCAACGTGCTTTTGTTAGCAGATTCCTCAGTAGATACAGGAGGGCAGCAAAACACGGTTTCGAGTGGTGCATGGCGCCCTGTCTGAGAAGGAGGTCTCTTGTCGGAGGAAGTGTGGGTTTGCGGTGCGCTGTAATGTGGCGTTGGGATGTGTTCTCTACGGCAGCTCAATCGTCCATGGAGGCGTGCCGGCAGAAGCGGAAAAGTGTGTTTTATCGTGTCCGGGGCAGCTGTCTTGCAACGGCAGTGTGTGCACGTATGTCTCTCTGCAGCTGGTGTGCTCCTATAGTTACGCACACACATCGTGTCTGGCCGGGTCATGTGCCGCCCGACGATTTGCAGTTATATCATGTCTTTGAAGCGGCCCTGTGTTGAGGAACGATCCCCCGTCTCGCTTGCCCCATTCCGTCGTGTGCATTTACGTGTCCTGTGTATTTACATGCTTTATGCTTAAATGCATGAGAATTTCCTCTGCCTCTGCCAAGCGTTGGGGATCAGTTGCGGGTTTAGGGTTGCCAGGCGGTGTCGCTGTCGATTATTCGATTATTCAGGAATTGCGATTTCCTTGGGCTCTCGTCTGTTGAGGAGTCTTCTTCGGGGCTTCCGGTGGTTTGTTAGTTGGCAGTGGCCTGCTCCGTGTGTTGACGACTGTGGGAGCGTTACATATCTGACTATTCCATTCCCCAGCAAGGCCGAAGAGGGTAGGACGTTACCACACACGCGCCTGGCACCATACTAGTTCCATACCAAAATGTCTCATTTTTTGGCAAGTCCTTTTTCTGGCAGCCAGCCACTTAAAATGGGGCTTCGGCTTTCGGAACCTTGCAACAATTAACAGATATATAATACATTATTGAACAAAACTGCATTGCAGCATTATTTCGCCTGGCGTGTAGGGTAAACCCCGCTAAACAAACCAAGCGCAGCGGAGGGGGAACGGAAATCGCAGCAACGGGCATTTTCCACCGCAATATGAAAGATATTGCAAAACATTACGCGAACATGGGTAAGCTACATACAAGTGTAACCTACCCCCCCCAAGGACCAAGGATCAGATATCACCTGTTACTGGGCTCTGGAGGCAAACAGAGCACGGAGAGGCAAGTACCATGTCCCCAGGGAGCAGCGGTTTTGCCGCTGTTGTGGTATTAATAGCCAAATCGAGAATGAAAAACACGTGTTATTGGAATGCCCAGCCTATAATGATAATCGTGCGGAAGAGGAATTCGATCATCAACAGAGCATGTTGGAGGCCATGAAATGGGAACCAGTACGTCTGGTGAAGATGTTGGAACGTATGTGGGCGCACCGCAACTCAGTTATTTCCTTGGGGCGCTAGTCTAGACTGATGTGCGGTGTTTCCTGTTCTCCGTGGCTTTTAGGCGTATAGATATTGCCCTTGAGCCTTCGGCTCGTATGCTTAGTTTTACAGGTATGGGGTCACGCACCCCCAACCATGTAACACACACACACACGCAGATATCACCTAGATACGTTGTACAACGGGCATATATTGTTGGGCGAATTCATTGCACACAGGCCCACATTCCCGCCGGCGGGTGCCGTACAGGTCACGCCGGGCCGGGCGCAGTACTCTCGGCAGTCAAACCCCACCGCGTTCAGGTTCACATTCTTGATTAGCCAGTTGAGGGTGGGGCGGGGAGTCGTGGCGGCTCCCGGAGTGGGCCCGTTGGCGAGAGGACACACACACTCAGGTCGCAGGTTACGAGAGCCGGTGCCGAACATCTTCCTTGAATCGCAATACTCGACGCCGAACACTACCGCGTCCCTGCGAGTCGGTTTTGAGCAATCATGGCCGTATGCATAATATAGATAAATAAGCGATTGTAATGAATATATGAAATTATGATAAAACAAAATCAAAATATTTGTAAGCGTAGTGGGGAAACTTAGTTGTCATAAATAAATCTTACCATTTGATATTTCGGCCGTAATAGTCGCATTCATCGTATTCCCAGCACCGTTCGTTGAGAAACCAATCGTACTCGGTAGCTACAGCTCGTCCATTAGCAAATGTCTGACTCAGAAGGTCTAGCGCGTTCTTCAAACCGGCTGACAACCTCATCCCGTGCGCGGCGTCCAGAAGCGCAGCGTTGTAAGCCAGCTGCTGAGCCTGCGTCACCCCGCGCTTACCCGCCGCCACCGGCACATTGTCGTACGTGTCAACATTATCCTGCGGTGTTTGTTCGTACCGGTGGCACCAGCGGCGTTAATGTCAGCGGCGGCGTGGCCCCGTCAGCGACGTGGCCCCGCATCTCCTTTGTACGGCACTGCTACGGAACATAAAACGACGGAGCCCGGTTCCAAACGGAAGCCATAAAACCGCTGTAGTGCTTCTCGTGCAGTAGAGGACAGATCTGAGCTTAGTCTTGATGAGGGAGTTCAGAAACGGGAGGGGGGGAGGGGTGTGATTGGGTTGGTGGGTACTCACCATCTCAATGCCGTCGCAGCCCGCCGCCACCGCAGATCGCATCCTGGGGATCATCACCTGCCGCCGGGTGAAGGAACGCCAACCGCCAACCGCATTTGGGGGACGGGGACGAAAACCGGGGAGAAGCAGTGTAGGAACCCGGGAGGAGGAGGGGTTTCCGAGGGGGGGGGGTTGTCCATTCATTTGAATTGCGTCGGGACCACCGGCGGCGACAGCGGTGAGTGGCAGCAACCCTAGTCGCGGATCTGACCAACCAGTTTTTACCGCGTTTCCATCAAAAGCCAAGCTGGAACTAAGATGTAAAAAAAGGCTGCACGACTGTACAACTGTACGTACCTGATTAACAAGCGCATTGCGCGTGTCGTTCCTGTCTAATGCAAACCATCTTTCCTCGCTGAACGGCGGTTCCATGTACGCCAAGTACAGCGGCCCCGGTACGGCAGATCCACCGAGCTGCTGCTCCAGCGCTGACCAAGAGATGCCGCGTTGGCTGTCCGCACTCACACGGGCGGGCTCGTAGGTGCCGACGCTGAAGTAGCAGATCAACTGCACCACGAGGATTTGACAAGGAACCGGAAAGGCATATGGACATTCGTGATATTTTCGATGAAGAATTCTAAAAGAAACAATGATTTTCAACGTGATTTCCAGGGTGACGACCGAATCTGGACACCCTATAGGATTACCAAGAAGAAAAGGTTTCATCGCGTCAGATGAACCAGAACGGAAAATCCGCGGGCGACAGGGGGTTAAGTCCGCATCAAAGCTGTGTCGCACCTGTGCTTGTGCTGAGGTGTTTGACTTTCATTTGACCACCAGAACTTGCAGCGCATTACAGCGCTTATTAAGAGCCTTGACTAAACGTACAGCCAACGCTGGAGGATGTGGACGACATACCTTATAGCTCGAACGGGTAATACCCAGCTCGGCAGCTTGGGATAGCAGCGTAGAAACCATGTCCAAATCTACGTCAATAACCTTTGGATGGACATAATGCGGACGAACAGAAAACAGGGTACATATAAAAGGGTCCCGTAAGGCCCGACAGATACAGGCCGGGGGGGATGACAGGGGTTAGGAGAGGGAGGGTAGAAATGGAGAGGATGAAACCGGGCTCTTGGTGAGGTCAATAAATAAAAGTAAGGCTGGTGGAGTATAATCAACTGCTGAAGAAAATCAAGCCAGATTTATGCTATGTTAGTGATGACAGTGCAATATGACCCTGTGCCCGTTGAACCGATGCCGGTCGCAGGGCAGCAAATGGGCAGTGGGGGAGCGAAGGTGAGGAGGGATGAGGAGTTGATGGATGTAATTGGAAGCCGGGGGACGGGGATGGAGGGAGCTGGGGTTAAGGATTTTCTCAATTACACTCTTCAAGGTCCTAGGTCCACGGTTCGAACCCTGCTCGTAGCAACAATGTCGCCTTATTACCTGCGGCCTGGTGCGCAACATGGGCCGGAAGTCGCTACCACTGAGCTGCCATTGCCAGCGAAGTACTCCGGACGGCCGCCAAATTGACGATGGAGACGATGGCAGCGGCGGCGGCGGCGATGATGATGGCGCTGCCTTGGGCGACGGCGAGGGGGGTGGCGACTTGGCGGGGGGCGGTCTAGACGGCGGCTTTGGGGATGGAGACTTTGGAGATGGCAGCGGAGGAGGAGGACGCTTGGGAGGAGGAGACTGCGGCAATGGCTTTGAGGATGGTGGCGGTGGTCGCGGTCTGGATACCGGCGGTGGGGACTTGGCCTGGTGCCCCGTCGCAACACAACATGAGGGTGAGGGCGGGTGGGCGGGTGGGCGGGTGGGAGGGGGAAAAGAAGTCAGACCAGGTGATACAATTACAGGTAACCGGGGACTTACAGTACATCAGGCCAGGGGTGTGCATGTGCGTATGTACATATGTGTCTACATATGCGCGTGTGATCGATTTTTCTACGCACAGCTGCTAAAGCGTATCATATGTTCGGTACAACTTAACTTGTAAAACTACAGGAAAAGGCATCGCTAAACCAACCACTCTAATTAAAACTCGTCAATTTAAAACTAAAGTAATCGACATTTACAATAAAGAGAAGGGCTGTGCGGTGTTGTACACAACACCGCACAGCCCCCGCTCCAGTGTTGTTTATAGGGTCTAGTTTAGCACAGCGTCATGTCTGCGCGGTCTTCCTAGCTCGCTCCTGTCCGATTCCCTCAACCCCCTACCCTCCCCGCCTCTCCCGCAGATAGCGCATCACACCTCCGTTTAGCGGAAACTCTCAACCAGCTCAACCCACCGGCGCAACGATGCCCATGAAGGTATCGAAATAGGTGGCCAGGGTGTCCCAGGGATTGGGCATGACGTCATCCGTGACATAAATGTACGAAAACGACCTGCTAGCGGCTTGGTTGACGAGTTGGGGCAATGCGGTGGCGGATGATTGACCATGCAACATCATGGCGCAGGAGCTCTGAGTCGGGCAGTCGCAGATGGCGCCGGCAGCGTAGTCACCGGCCCAGGCCGAGGCGTAGTTCTCGTAGCGTACGTATACGTCCTGTCAAACGTACGGCATGATGATGCTAAAGTTCAAAAAACGAAAAAACGAAAAGTTGTGGGAACGGCACGGATGGGAAAAAGAGGTTCTGCTGTGTGTTGGAAGCTGTGGCATGTGTGCAGGTATCCCATACGAACTTCAAACCTTAAGTCTCACGGTTTCTAAATCTCTCCATACCCATCGACATGTGTGGATCTTTCTTCATCTTCTTTTTCCGTGGGCTGGTAACCCCTTGAAGCACAACAAAGGAAGCTCGCTTCACTGGCATCCACCTTAAGACCGTCGACATACATACATATCCTGCCGTACAAAGGACCTACCGATAGGCCTGCCAGCGTGCAGCCAATCTTGGTCCCGGGGTTGAACACAACACGAGCCGAGGAGTTACGACTGTACACAGCATTGGCGAGGGCGCCGTAATATGTCACTGCATTGACCTGCCGGACGGTTGGGGGGTTGGGACGAGCGGCTGGGTGAGTGATCAGCTGGGCATGTAAAATAATACTTGTGACATTGCAACGAAGCTGCGATAGAAACACTAACTTGGTTATGAAGTTAGGAAAATCATCAAGAAGAAATCATTTTCTTTATTGGATAGACATACACACGCACACACACTTCGTATCACGACCCAAATCGTTTATTCACTCACTTCCACCCCGCAGGCGCATTGCCATGCGACACGGGAGCAACACGGGCAGCCACACGGACATATCCGCTGCCACATGCGTGCATTGCCACGCGCGCGGGCTGGGTGTACACACGCATGCAGCTTGCGTTACACCTCCCACAGCTGCTCTCGCCCTGTCGGCCCCGCATTCACTCCTAGCTCGAGATGTACCGCAGGCAGATGCTCTTGCTCTTGTACTACACATCACATCACATCACCTTGGGCCGTTGGGGGATCCCACCGACCGAACTAATGCACACACGACAGCATTATGCTGGTACGTACGACGCTGCTGCTGCTGCTGCGGCTGCTAAGATCCACGTCGGCATTATGTTCGTACGTACATTTACGGTGTTGGCGACGACCTCGTCGAAGAATATTCCCAGCAGCAAAGACCCGAAATTGTCAAACCACGAATTGACTTCCGCAATCACATCGGCCTGGGGCCGGGCCTTAGACGCCCCAAAATCAGCCATGGTGTGCACGTAACCGAATAGCTGGACGCCTGGACGGGGGGACGTGAAAGAGGACGTTGAAGGGAAAAAGTGGATGCGATGAAGGCGGGGAAGGGAGGGAGGGAGAGGGGGTAAGCGGGAGGACGGCAAGAAGGCGGGGAGTGAGTGGATGTGGGAAGGTGGGGAGTAGAGGCGGCGGCAAGATGCGCAGGTATGAGGGGAGGCGAGCAGAGGAATAGGAAAACATTGCGACAGATCTCCAAAACGGGTCGTCACATCAGCGGTAAAGGGGAGGGAACGCTCCGTTCGTACAACCCCCCTGAGGGCTGTGCGAGGGAGGGGCTGGTGGGAAAGAAACAGACGCCAACAGCAGTACAACAGCAGTACAACAGCAGTACAACAGCAGTACAACAGCAGTACAGGAGCTCACCGGAGTCGTACAGCGTCTTAAAGGCCGTCGTATACAGCGAAAAGCTGTTAGTGGGAGGGCCACTTGAATCGCCAATAACAATAGCAAAGATGCTGCAGCTTGAACCGTACGATGCCTGCGGCACCGTACATTTTGCAAAAGGGCGCCGTGCACATTTATAGTGGATCATAAGCTTCGAGAAATCGCCACCGCCACCATTTAAATTGCCTTAAATCGTTGTCTCTTATGGTGTTAGTTGCAATTTAATAACAGCTCTCTCTTACACAGCCTGTCTCTTCTACGTTTTGCACTCTCCTCTTTCGTAACCGTATACTCATAACCAGTAAAACCAATGTCCACGATATTCTCACTCTCCTGCGGTCTGCGCTTTTCACACGTCCTGTACTGCACGCTTATTGCCGTAATCGACTACAAATACTCTCTCAGCCTCTTCAGTAGCACAGCCAGACACAAGTCAAAACCCGCTGGCCCCCTTACAAGTGCTCCGAAACCTCCATTACAACTGATCAACGAGAGCCTTCTTTGGGCACTGCTGCCGACTGCACGGCCTCACAGCCAGGAAGGAAAGGATCACAAAAATCACACGGTCCCGACAATTTCCGGCCCTCTCATGTACCCACAGGAAACCGACCTCTACACCGCACGCTGTGAAACAGTATGCCCCACGGCCTACAGAGTTAGGGCACGTTTTCGAAAGACGAGTGTGGGATCGTGTGAGATGGTGTACGGCGGGTTGAACGGTGTACGGCAACACGTACCAGCTTACTGTAGGCTGCCGTCTCCCAGGGACCAATGTACCAAGGAATCAGGACACCCATGCCCGGGGGCTCTGAGCGCCGGCGAAGTTGCGTTTGGCAGGAGGAGGGTGGGAGTGAAGCCGGGAGTTAGGGAGAGGGGAACAAGAAGTGAACGTTGGTTTTTAGCTAGCCAGGTCTAATGACAGGAACTTGGGTTGAAAGAGATGGTAACCAGGAGCGTGGTCATGGTCAAGGCGTTTGGGGTGCTGACATGGGTGGTTTGGAAAAGAACTATGTGCGCATGTTTCTTCTTTTATCATGTCATTCAAACTAAAGAATGGTGGGCATTGAGGAAATTATTATTTCGCTAGATACTGCTGCTCATACCTGGTCCGCATGGATGCGCTGTTCCGGTGCGTATGTGCGACCAGCCTGCGCAGTGGGATGGATCGGTACTGAGTAAAAGTATATCTTGTAATGCGTTGAGTTTCTTAATCGTTGCGGAGGACGCGCCTGCCAACACCAGCAGCAGCACCGATGCCGGATACCAAGCGCCAGCACTGCGCCTAGGAAGCATAGCTGGTGATGATTACTGAAAATGAAACGTTTGGGTTGTATATCGGTAGGCAAAATCGTGCAGTTTGCGCCAGACAAAGAATACAATTGTTTACTTACAGATTGGGCACGTAATTATACAGTATACGTAACTATTTCTTGTGTGAAGTCATCTTCGTGTCAAATATAAACTTTATGTAAACTGCTGCGCCGAAACGGGACCAGGCTTTGAAGGCGTCCAGAAGTTGGATGACTGTACCCGCAGTACGAAGGCAGGAAACGGAGTTGAACGGGTTAACCCAATCGATTGGAAATGGCACCGGTAGAAGAGCATCATTCTGAGATTCCGAATCTGTACGTGCTAAATAAAAACTTGCACTTGCCGCTGAAGCTGACCGGCCTCTGCACGACTCTTCTGGTGTAACGCGGATGCCTTGTGGGAAGATGGTCGCCGCAAATGCAAAATTGGACGCCGCCAGACCATACTCACTTTAAGAGTATGCTTTTAAAGATATGAAAATTAATCATATCCAAGTTTACAAAGCGTCCGTCAGCTCCTCGCTCAAAACTGGGACGCGCGAATCCTTTGCCCTTAAGCCAGGGCCCTTATGGAAAGGGGAACAAGCAACTCCGGAATTGACTCTTGTCTCCTTATTCCATCCCATTGTTTACGTAAGTGACAGGTGGACAAGTAGCTAGGTTCTCTGCGAGCTCCAGGAGGGTGCAGCCCTCCCTAATAAGGCACTGAGGGGCAATGCCTATGATTAACTTAGTTTGCCCGTTCCATCGACTCTACATCAGTACCTAATTGAACAACTAACCGTAGGAGGCGTGTGGATTGCGAAGGCAGTTTTGCAACGTCATCTATCTCATGTATATAACCCTGTTGTGCAATATATTCAGGGTTAAAGGATAATTAAGAAATCGGTGTGGCTTCTTTGTCCACCCGAAGTCTCCACAGCAGCCTCTTCACCATCCTCCCATACCCATTGCCAGGATAGGCAATCTTGGCCATCCCCGCCTGCGTTGCATAGCTTTGGCATTCGTCTTCCGTTATAGGTCTGATGGCGGGGTGGCCGGCATAATCCAGCACTTGGGCCCCTCCTAATTGTGACACCCGGTGGAGGCTGGATGAGCCGCAGATGTGTATACAGGCGCTCGCCACAACTGCAGGTTCACAAATACAACCTCCATTTGCAAACCTATCCTTGCACGCAGCGGTATTGTCGATATCAATATGGCTCCTTGTAGCTGCATAATGCTGCCACCTTCGAAGGTGGCATTTGCAACTGAATTCAGTTGCAAAGACAGAGGGTGGGTACTTGACGCCGAACACTTGCTTGACCCGCCCAACTGCTGCTTTCTCGCTGTCATGGATTGCAAGGACCTCTGCTCTGGCCCTGTGGAATGGAAACCATATAAATGTGCATTAGATGTGCATTTGCTGCAGTTCGTTCAAATGGCGCCATGTGCATTGCAACATTCAAACCTGCATGCCATGGGTTCTCAAATACCATTCACATGACTGTAGAGGATTTTGTAATTGGAAATGACACCTAGCAAATGGTAAGGATGCCAACATTTTCAATGTTTCGCATATGTAGTCACGGAGGTTGGCCCCAGACATTGGTGAATGGTGAACATGCCGATCTGTGCTCGCAGGGTTCGGTTGAGCTGAGGCATGAGGTGAGGGGTGTTAAGGCTTGGAGGAGGACAGCAGTTAAGGAAGTGAAAGGTGTCCGCTGGTGTAGTAGCTGGTACTCAGTACATGTTGTATCCTATAAAGGTTTTCTGCAACGGTTTGGGCTCCGAATCCTAACTGTCGGTGGTTAGCTCGTCCGGTCCGATTTACCTAACTGATACCCGTCAATCCCGCTGTCGGTGATTACAGGTTTAACTAATACTGATATTAGTTTAATTGCGGCTACTGTTAGCTGCGGCGGCTAAAGCGACTACCGTTAGTCGTCCGCCGGCCAAATGCCGCACTGTTGCGGAAGTCCATATCTGCGTATGGGCGGGGGTTTTACCTATGTAAAGCTGGGACCTGCGTCCCTGTTTCGTCTGACCGAGCGAGAGTAGTTCCTGCGAACTATGGCTGCTGGATACCGCGCTGCCCAGTGGAGTCTCTGATGACTATTTATTCAAGACACTTGTCTCAATCGGTATCTTTCGATGCCCCCATTATGTGGTTGTGTCCTCTGTCCCAGCCCTCTGTCCCCCGAGATAACCGGGTTGCAGAACACCGATGCTGCAGGAGTGGGTGCCGCCGTGAACGTCCCATTTGGGATGGGCAGTGAATGCATCACTGTCCCCAAAAGAGCACGTCTGGAGGGTAAACAGCACAATCGCATGCTGCCAAGTGCCATAGGTCATGATAACCCCCGTGCCTTTTGGAGTCAGCGACAGGAGCTGCGCCGTTGATGACAGCTTTGCCTGGTGTGAGGCTTGGCGACTGGTACACAGGAAGTGCCACGCCTTCCTGCTGGCAGGACATGAGGAGGGAAGGGGGCCTTTCTGCAAGGGGCCATCGTGCCAGAGTGCCAGAGTGCTTGGGTTACAAACACATTCCCGTCTGACCCATGAGTAACTTCCTCCCAGTCACTTACATAATATTCTGTAGCACCCACCTGGAGGGTTGTTGCTGGTGCGACTGCTGTTGTTGCTGCTGCCGCTGCTACCCCTGAAGCAGTGACAGTCATCACTGCTGGGTGCGTGTGTCCCTATAGAGCTCTATAGGGACAAGCTGCATGTACCCATCGGTCGGTCCGCTGAGCACGCCCGCGGCGTCAAGCATGTCGCCTTCTTCGTCTCTGTCGGCGTCTTCAGCCTCGCCTATGTTGCTGACCTCGCCAATGTCACCGGCCTCGCCTTCGGAGCTAGACCACGAATGGTGCACCATTCTTCGTAGTCGGCAGACATTTCACTGACATAGCCGTCGCTGTCCGCCTCCGCAACAGCCCCATCCTCAGCGTGATACATGGGATGGGTCTGTGGTGAGAGGTATGGCCATAAGATGAAGGACTAGGGCTCCTTGGTAAAGGCAGGGAAGGGTGCACCTTGGTCCGCATTCAGCTGGTGCTCATTTTAGAATGAACGCTTTCCATGCATACTAAAGGGTTTTACCCAAAATAATTGCAAGGAGAACGTGGGGCTTGGGCGGCCACCTCGGCAATTGCCACCAACCTTGGCCGCGAGCAGGATCCAGGGCACCTTCACGTTCAGCTAGCTATTTGAATGATATGGCCATTATTGCCTTGCCCAGCAGGCGAAGTTTCAGCGTTCGCGGGATTGGCCAACGGCCTCATTCGTTAAACGGAGAATGCGATTTGTTACAGCGGACCCCGTACGGGTCGAGTGCATCAGCACAACACTGTGGGCTTGCGCTGAGTGTCCAGCTTGTCAGGCCAAGCGCACTAACATCGCTGACGTTAAACGGAGCCAGGCACCTCCAACGGACTTGCAGCAGTTGGTCGACGTAACCGGTCGTACAGTTTTCCGGCCCCAACAGCTTGGGTTTTTTCGTTGCGTTTGCATTACTTGGTGAACTCCGTTCGCATGCTACTGTCCAGTTTTGTTTTCATCAGGCTTCCTGCAACCCATCGTAGCCACAGTAGTCAAGAAGATGCCTTAGGACATTTAAATATTATAACGGACAATTGTAATCAACTTGTGTGCGAGGCCTCGTTATGGCTGCAATGTCGGAGGCCACAGCTTCCCCTATCCAGGCTCGCCTTGCGAACGTGCGATACGCTGAAAAAGAATACTGGAATAGCAGATACATATCGCAGCCCTGCGAATTTGACTGGTGAGCCTGACAACCTGTTGCATGCGTTCATTCTTCGCACAAGTTATAGGCATGCACCTTGAGAATGTAATAGCGCTAATGACTCCGTCACATAAACATTAGTTACGTAACATATGGGCAGACAGGACAACTGCTGTTTGTTTCCGTTGGGTACTGTCTTTCCATGAATGTGGACGCGAAGCCAGGCTAGAGCCAAATTATGCAGCTCTCAGGAGAGGACCCATGTATGCCCGACGCTATGCTGAATAACAGACGCCTCAGAAGGGGCAGCGCATTGCGTCAAATAAAGAGGATCTTTGGCCCGCCTTGCTCTCTGGGGAAAACTCTGGGGAAACGGGACAATAACAGAGGAAGCTCTCCTCTCCTCTCCCCTTTTCACCTCTGGCATGTCTGCAAGGTTCTACGGCTACACCGCGCTACGCAAGGTTGTTCGAACCTTCGTAAAGCGCACCAAGTCCGTGCTCCATGTCGGCTGCGGCAATAGCAATTTCCAGGAGGGCATGGCCAAGGACGGGTATAACGTCATAAATGTAAGCGACCAGGCGCATTTGGTAAAGATAAGACCCGAGCCTCTGTCGTTCGACATCTCCCGTACATCACTTCAGTTCCGCTTTTGAAACCCTGTGTATATGTACTCTGCCCGCACCGTATGTTTGTCTGTCTGTGTGATTTGTCCGCCGACAATGGGTTTTCTTTTGGCGCTTGCTGCATCATCATATCACCATCATCATCATTTTCGTTCACCATCTATTTTTTCTGGGGGAGACCCCCTTTCCGTACGGGGAGACGTGAGCAGGGATTGGGTGCGTCAGCGGGCGGAGCACGTTCTTTTGCCTGCCTCCAGCCAGAAGCAGTAGCAGCAGCAGTAGCAGTAACATCCAGTTCCATCCGTCCACGCATTGAGACATACAGACACACCCGCCTGTGCCGCGTATTGGGGCCCCCGGGGTGAACTACCCCTCTAGTGCGAGTTGGCTGACCAGCCCCAGGTAGAGCGGGGCCGGTCACGGCCCGCGGCCTCTGGGTGGTGCCGAGTAGTGGTGGTCTCAGGGCCGGAGTGAGAGGTCGTAGCCACGTTTGCTTCCGGGCTGAAGACAGCCCAACGGTAGGGCTGCCCCTCATCACGGGGAGGAGGAGGGGGGGCGCCCGGGTGATGTTGTGCAAGGGGTGAGGCAGCCGCACCTGCTGCTCAAGGCACAGGCTGCCCGGGGGGAACTGTGCATCAGCGCGTGCTGAGGGAGGTTGGTTGTGAGACCGCCTTCGTAGCCACCGTGCGCTCTTTTCCATCATCAAAATTACATGAGCGAGGTACACCGGGTCGTAGATACACCCTCGGGGGTTGGGTCGTACAGTCCCATGCGGTCTATCGAGCAGTACGAGGGGGGGCGCTGTGGGGACCGCTCACGTCCCTCTCCTCCCGCCGCTAGGGGGGGACAGTGCCGTTGTGGGGGGTAACCGTTACCGTTGGGGTATGTACGGCTAGGAGGTGCCGCTGGCCAGTGTGAGGCCCGGATCGACGTGTAACAGAACACACACACACACATGTATATATATATGTGTATATATACATGCATCCACACACACGCACACACGAGAGAGGGGCAGTGTGGTGGCTATGAGACAAAGGAGTCGTGTTTCCTCTCGCCGTATCCGTGTGGTTTGTTAACCTGTGGACTGCTGGTACGTGAGTGGAGTACGGATGGCCCCGAGGCAGGGGCACCGCCGTACCGCATGCACATACACACATACATCTTACAGCCCCCCCTCCCCCCCCCTCCCCGGCTGTTCCCCCAGACCGATATTTCTGAAGTGGTCATTGAACAAATGCGTTCCAAGCATGCGAACGTTCCCAATCTCCATTACGTGGTTTCGGATTGTCGCAAGTACGGATGTACGACTGTACGGCTGTTGCAAGTTATGGTTATGGGGAGGAAAGGGGATATGACTTTGGCCATATCATAAGCAACAGTTATCTTGAAGCAGTCATCAATATAGGCGACATGGGACGGTCTGTCTGTATGTCTATCTGCTTGCCTAGCTGTCTCTTTATCTGTCTGCATGTTTGTCTATCTGTGTGCTCCTGGGACGGGTGGACAGGGAAAGAGTGGACTCGCAGTACTACTGCCGTATTCCTCTTGGCGCCATTTTGTGGTGGTAATGCTGCTCTTTATGATTATTACATTTATACACCCTCCTTCTGATTGTTATTATTATATCACTTGCCGTGTACATGGTGGCCATCGCAGTATGTCCGAGTTCCTGGATTGCCAGTTTGGCAGCGTCATTGATAAGGGTGAGCATCCATGTGTGTCTGTCTGTCTGTCTGTCTGTCGTCTGTATGTATGTGTGTGTGGGGGGAGGGGAAGATGTCTGACAGCCCTACGGGGTCACCCCCGGGCACCCCCTGTGTGTGTGCGGCATCTCCACCCTCCCCTTCCTCCTCCTACAGCTCCTCCTCCCGCATACCGTTCCTAACAGCATCGACATCCTACAACCGCCATTATGTTTGTGTATGAGTTTATGTTTGTACCTACGTACGTGCGCACGTACGTATGTATGTATGTATGTCAGGTACTGTGGACGCGCTGCTCTGCAGTAAGGATGCCGCGGAGAACATCCGGAGCATGTTCCGGGAGGTTTCCCGGTGT